CATCACTGATAAATGTATTTTAACTGGGGCTGAATCCTGAAGTCGTTGATTAGTTTCCATTCCTTCCTCTTACAAATTCCTATTGCCTCCTCATTTTCAGCTTCTACTCTTTAAAGACTCATAAAATTCTTCAGGATTTAGACTATGGTCATTTAACTGTAGTCAATAGACACAGACCAGATTTTTTAAAACATTAAATGCAGGTTTAAATGTGGTAGTGATTATCTTTCCTTGATTCAAATGCAGACAAAGATTGTTCTAGCACAGGGGTACTTAACTCCCAGTCCATGGGCAAGATTCAGCCCACAGAGCCATGGCTTCGGGCCCATGGGGCTCCTCACAGGTCTGGAAATTTGGCAGTGGGGGAGCAGTGGCAATTAACACAGCTGTCGCTCCACTGCCAAATTTTCAAGTCTCATGCAGCTGAATTGGTCCTGGGCTGGGCCTACATGGCTGGATCAGACTCTGGCTGGGCCAGCAATGTGCACCGGACTGGATCTGTCCCACAGACCAATCTGGCACCACTCATCCAGACCATGGAGCGAAAAGATTGGTCACCACTGTTCTAGCACAACTTGCACATACACATGAAGAATATAGAATAAACACATTTTTTAAAATATTACCTAGGATCTTTACTTGATTTAATATGTTTCTGTGTATAATGGTCCAAGTGATTGCTGCATCATTGAGAGTAAATTTATATTCCCATATAGGGGTTAAATAATGTTTCTGTATAGGAAGTTTATTTAAAAAGGGTGCATTTACATGTGGAAATGTTCCGGGTAGGCAGGCATCTACATGTGTGGGGAAGTGGGAGCAGATTTGCTGCTCATGGCAGCAGTCTGCTCCCTCCCTGACTGGCCCTGCGCTGACCCTCTGAAGCAACCAGCAGGCTCCCCCTAGGTGCTAGCCCAGGGGCTGGCAGGTAGCATGGGGCCTGCTCCCTGCCCACAGGATTGCTCCCTGCTCACAGGAGCTGCCTGCTGCTGGGGTGGGCTCCAATGGTGAAGCTCAGGTGGGGACAATGTCCCTCTGCTCCGGCATCAGGGAGCTTCCAGCCCCTGCTCAGAGATTGCAATCTCAGAGCAGGGGATGGGGATTTCTTTCTCCCAGCCCTGGATCCATGACTGGGGAGCAGGGCCTGGGAGATGACAGACTCCCCGACCCCACTCCCTGATTGCAGAGCTGGGAGATCAGAATGTCTTAGCCCCCCACTCCCCAATCCTATAGGAGGGGATGGGAGCTCCCTTTTGCAACGGGCAGGGGGACATTGTGCCCACCTGGACTCTGGTGGCAGAGCCCACCCTGGCAGCAGGCAGATCCCGGGGGCAGGGAGCAATCTCTAGCAGCCTGCTGCCTGGCTGACCAGGAGCACATTTGCTCCCCGTTGACTGTCTATACATGCTGTACTGTGCAGTAATTGCTCCTGCGTAAATTTGCTACTTGTATTTTTGACGAATGTTTATTTATATATCATACTTTGTCATTTTCTGTGTATACGCCAGGGGTCATATTCCATTCCACTCTAAGTGTTATTCATTCTACCCTGCTTCAGTTCTTGTAAAAGTCTTAAAGCGAAAGATGGGTGGGTCCTTCCTGTCCTTGCTGTTTTTTTGTGGCTCAGTCTTAAGGGCCAGATGATGGTGTTACAAAATAAAATGCATTAATGGATTTTTACGACTAAAGGGTGGAAAGAGAATCTCACACAAGTGCATAAGTGTGCTTAGACATCTAATAGGTAGAATAGAGTCTAGCCCCAGGAACAAATTTTCTTAAATATGGTTTTGAAGAGTTTGTATACTAATGGTAGACAGTGGAAGTCAGCTACACTTAGCCAGATCATCCACACATTGGCATAACATTATTGCCCGCATCAGTTTATACCGGTTAAGGATCTGGTCCATCTTAGCCAAAATTGATATTGAAGTAGAATTACAAGTAAGATAAATCTGTGGATTTGAAGTTCTGTATATCAGTATGAAATTTCAGGCTATGAATAGGGCCAAGAGCTGTATAAGGGTAATACCTTATGTCTGTTACTTTTCTGAGCCTGGCATGTATTGTATAGACCAAAAGGTTTAGAATAATGTTTACACACAGGGGAGAGTTTAAAAATGTCTGATAAATTTAGAAGCACAAATGCTACAGGAATTCAACTGAAGTTCTGCAACTAGATACCTAACATATTTTCGAAAATATTTCTTGATAAGATCTGTTCAGTTTCCTAAAAGAAATATTTATTTTTTTCATTATATTAAATAGTATAGTATAGTATTTAATATAGTATATTAAATCATTATATAATTCAAAATATATAACAGCTAGAAAAATGAATAAGCATATATCAAGTATCATTGGATTAAAATATTTGTAATATAATTTTTGCTTAGAAAATATATTCATGTATCTTGATCATTTACAATATTTTTTGTAACAACCAGAATCCACCTTGGATGTGGTATGTTATTTATTAGCATGGTACTCAAAAGTAAAAAGGAGTGTTTTGAAATTACTTTAATTTGAAGTAGGTTGCATTCTGAAGAAATGGAGCTGAAACATGTCCTGCCCTCCATTTCTTCCTTCCTTCCTTCTGAGAAAACAGACAGAGGTCTAAGTAGTAATTTAAAAGTTTTAGGAGTCTTTTCTGCAGTTTAACACTTTTGATAGCTCTTTCTCTCTAGACTCACTTGATAGTCTCCCTGTTTCCTTCACAACTATAAAACAGTATAGAATTAAGGATAAATCAGCCCAAAGATATTTCTGTGACTATCGAAATCTATGATAATCATTGGTATTACAGAATTGATAGCCTTTGTGTACAAAAATAAAGTAAGTGTGCAGTTTTAAAATCGTCTGTATTTAATTTATTGTGCAATACATACAGTATATGTATTTTGAAAATCATAATTTTGGTGTCTATGAGATTGTTTGTATTGCATATGTCTGTTATTATGTACTATCTTACTTGTCACTTAGGGATTATGAAAAGCTCTTTTTTTTTACAGATCCAGTGCATGAATTTTTGGATCTATTTCGTATACTTCCACCTGCAATAGATGAACCCCCCATAGATGCAGAGTCATCAGAGACTGAACCTTGTACCACAGAGTCTGAACAAGAGTCACCTGAGATCGTAATACTGCCTGATATTATACCACCATTTATAGACTATGAAGAAGAGAATGACTGTGAAAATACAACTGATGTCACAACTCCTCCAGCTTTGCAGTTCATCAATGGGAAGCAACAGGTGACCAGTGCACCTAAAAGTACAAAAGCTGAAGAAGCCAGAAGTGACCAAATTGAAAGTGTTGCACACTCCAGAAATGTAACATTTTCACAAATCAATGAAAATAACACTTTTATAATATCTGAAAATGAGGCTTCTGATACAATACAACCAAGCACATCTAGAGAAATAACAGGGGTACTTGAAATTACACAAAAGCCTACAGCAGATGTTGCAATGTTAGAACCTGTGTTCAGTGGTGAATCAGAAACTGCAACTGTGGATAAATCTGTAGAGATAACTTCTATATTTGGACGAACTTCACCAGAAACTGTGGGGACGTTAACAGAGCGTGAAACTGAATTTCAGTCAAGCTCAACGAATGACACTGAAATCTTACCTCTGATTCCTGTAGAATCTTCTGGAGATGGTACCACTGATTCTGAATTATCCAATGGTATCTTTTCGGGAACTGTGCAAATGACAATAAAGGAAGATTCTGAAAAAAGTTCTGCTATAACTTCTTCTGTTCCTAATGCAGTTTCTGATACTGTTTCCATAGGCATGGGGCAGGATTTTATGCCAGAAAAAGAAACCTCTATTCTAAAAAGTGATAAAACAACTAAGCCTGATACATTTTCTTCATTGGAAGGTCTCATGGAAACAACAAGTCATACAGAGAAGTCTGTAGCAAGTCCTACATCATTCATAATACCAGAAGGGTCTGGAGATGTAGAACAGGATATTGATAAAACTTCTGCTATGGTAACAGACACTGCAGTAACTGAAAATGTTTCTGTGCAAGATATTTCATTAGGCTCAGGAAAACTCCTGCCAACAAAAATGACCACCATTGTTTCAGGACCCACCATTCCTTTGCCTCAGGGAACTGGCATTGTCTCTTCTTTTTTTGAAGTTGCTGAAGTAACTGCCTCTGCCAAATCTGATAGTGGGTCCGTTACTGAAAAAGGGGTTATCAGCTCTACAGGAACTGAACTAAACAGTAAAGAAAATGGAAAAGAAGCACAGAGCACTGTTTATTCAACTAAGATATATCCATCTACTATTGAGACTGGAAAGCTGGTATTCAGTGAACTGGGAAGTTCTAGTGATGAAGTCAGAGTTGTAAAACAGGTATCTACCACTCTCAGCAAAACGGTGTCAGTGACAGCTGCCACCTATCCTGAAAGCAAAGGGGTTCCTGCTGATCCTCTCTACACAGAGAAAGGGCTTTTCATAGATGAAGGATCTGGAGAAGAACCAGCAGACATAATGAAAACCACCACTGACATAATTTCAGGGAGTCCCACAAACAAAGTGGTAAGTACTGACTCCCCATTTATTGATCCAGGTTCTGGAGATAGAGATTTTATTACTGAATCTACTACCAAGACTTCAGCTCCATTGAGGCCTCTGACTTCAAGCCTTGAAATACAAACTAAAAAGGAGGAAAGAGAAGTTTATCACACAAATGCTTCACCTGTGGAATATACAACAACTCTTGAACCAACAATGTCAGTTTTAAGTACTGAGTCAGATGGCTTAACTAAGGAAGCTGAAACAGGGAGTCTGATATCCCAAAGCATTTTTAGTACAAAACAGCCAGAACAAAAACGTGAAATAGAAACAACCTTTGTGATTACATCTGTTCCTTTACAAGAAAAATCTAGTCCCGGAATTAGAAAAGAAATTACAACACTTCCTATTGCAACAGAAGGTGAAACTAAATACACAGCGCAGTCTGGTGTCACATCATCTACCGAGTCTGTAGTTGAAACTACTCGTCCTGATGTCATGTTGACACATGCTGTCAGTAGTATAACTGTAGCAACTGAATCTATAGGAAGTAAAAGTGGAAAAGACAGTTCTCCGACAAGCTCTGTAAACCTCTTTATGGAAGCAGGATCTGGAGAAGAATCCAGAGATGACAGTAGTATGATAGATCAAGTAACACAAGGTCCCAAAGAAAAACTACTTAGAACTAATTTCCCATTTATTGATCAGGGTTCTGGAGAAATGGACACTACTGCTGTGTCTTTTACAGAAACAATAGTTTCACCACATTTAGCAGCTAGACAACCAGAAACACAAACAAAGCAGGATGAGAAAGAGACTACCAGCCCACCATCTGTTGATTATTCCTTTACTGTTGAATCTGAGATCCTAAGTAGAAGAACTGAAAGTGAATTCGCCACACTTAGAACTGAAATTGACAAAGAGATGGAAGAACAAACAATGTCTCATGATTTCATAGAGAAAGCCTTTGTTACAAAACTTCCTTTGGAAGAACATATACATTTGGAACAGGATGTGCCTGCAGAAACTTCACAAAAACCTGAGGATTCTTCTTCAGTAACAACAGAGGAATATTTCAATAAGGGTACAGATCTTAGCCTTGAGATTTCCATTGTTACCACTGTTAGCCCATATTCAGAAGAAAATAATTTGGAGATAAGTTCTGGCACTGAATCTGTTGAAAAAATGCCCTCTTCCTTTGATGATTTTACTTTAGTAACTGAGTCCATACAACTTAAAAGCAAAGGTATAAGTCCTCCAGCTTCTCTTACAAGAAAAGAAAAGGAGCAGGTACAAAACATTTTCCCTACAGAAGATATTCAGAGATCACTTCCAATTTCTAAAGGTGGTGGGCTAATAATTAAAGAGACCAGTAGTGATTCATTGTTTTCAGGACAAGGGTCAGGAGATGATCTCAGTCCTATGTCTGTAGCGCCACTGAATTTTGTGACTGCAAAAGAAACTGCCAGTACTTTAAGTTCTGAGACTGAAAGTGTGGGACCAAGTCCTTCAACTGAGAAAGCAGAAGTGCTTGGAAGAAGTACTGAACAAAGTCATTATTCTAGTGAAGGAGTCATTCTACTGGATTTTGTAACCAAGGTAGCTTCAGAAACAACAGATAAGATGATCACCAGGACCTCAGTCTTCACCGAAGAGAGTTCTACAGATTTCAGTACTAGAGAATCTACTGAGAAAAAACTCTCTTCTGTTGTCACTGAAGATTCTCAGGAACAGGAAGCTGTCCTTACGACGAAAGAAAGTGAAAAATACAGAACACCAGCTGCTATTGAAGTTGTAACTCAAGAGAAAACTTTACAGCTGATGACTAATGAAGGTACAACTTCTACTTCTGTATTTTTTAATGGAACTTCTAGTCTTGAAACAGAGGACACATTTGTAACATCAGCATCAAAAATTCCAGCCTCACTATTACATGAAAGCTTTGGAGAAGGATCTGGCTGGGTTGAAATTGAAGGATCAGTTCTTCCAGATGCACCTACTCATTTTGCAGGTCCCCAGACAGCGAATTATTCTGAAGTACTGACCACAGAGGCAACAATAAATGTATCACAAACTGTTTCAGCATTATTGCAAACTGATGCAGAAGCAAAGGAAGTCTTACTGAATCCAACCATAATTCAACCAAAGACAGTTACAGGGAGATATGAAAAAAATGTTCCAATACTTGATGACAAAAGAATACTTACAGGAAACATTTCTATTTATAATGGGGTTACATTAATTGAAGAACGACCGGGAATTACATTAGAGGAAACAGCAATCATAGATGCAGATCACTCTAAAACGATGCCTGAACATATACTAACTGTGGAGACAACTGCAGATGCAGAGATACAGTCAACATATGGCAGTAATGATAGTATGACAGTTGAAACTGAGAAGTACGATTCAACACCCAGTCTTCCTTCAAATGAAGAAAAATCAGATGGATCTGGTGATAGTCTTTCTTTGACTGCCTCTGGATTGTCAATAAATAGTGAATCAGTAACAGTTAAGCACACACCAAAATACAAGGATTTTGGTTCAGGGGATGTTATGCAGTTCACAACAGAAACTCCCAGCACTACTGAATTTTCTGAATTAGGTTCTTTTTTTCTAACAATACCATCATTGTCCAGCCCTACAGTGACCCACAGAGTGAATGAAGACACCAAAGAATCTCAGCTTGAGACTAAACATGTAACACCAAAAAGTTCAACAGAAGGCATCTCTGAATCAAGTACTTTTGCAGACAATCAAGTAATAGCAGATCAAAGTGAAATAGTTTTTACCTCTGGGTATTCAGGAATGGGTCAAGAGAATCTTGATGAAAAGAAGCCGGTGGTTCCCTCTTTTAGACCAGACTTACCTACTGAGACAGAACAGGAGTTAACAAGTGATGCATCTAATGTAAGTATTGCTTCTACACAGTTTATATCTCAACGTATAACAGATTCACCTTATGTGAGGGAAGAACAACGTACAGTTTACACAGAAACAAAAACCACATCAATAGACTCTGAAGAAACAGATTCACCAAACCTTTTTTCTGTAACTCAAACTCCAAAATCTCTAGTAACTGTCCAGTTAGTAAATGGAGTATCTGAATACCCAGAAGTAATCATTCCAAGTACTTTGTCATCAACTCATTCAAACAGGTCCGACTGGTCATCAGAACAAATCTTCAAAGAAGTTAGTGCTGATGTAACAGCTACTTATAAGCCACCCACTAAAGAACTTTTTATTGAAACTAAGTCTCCACTAGATTCTTCTTCAGAACCTGGATCTGAAAGCACAACTATTGAGAGTACTCCTGATTTTAGTGGACAGATAACAGACAGAACTGAAGAAACAGAAACTTCTGTAAGTGATTTGATTATTGAAGAAGAGACAACTATTTCTGGAGATACTCAATCTACAGCTGTTGTTCCTACAGCTTTTATACAGCCTGGAGAAACAGTATACACAGACATTCCAAAAGTTAGCACAGCAGAAGATGAAATCCCTACAGAGAGAGTAAAAGACCATAGCCCTGTAGGTGAAGGCAGTACTGAGGAAGGTTTGCCATGGCTATACCCCACATTAGCTTCAGTTTCACACGACAGTACCAAAGGTGGAGTATTGAAATCTGACCAGGAAACTATTACGATGTTAACTTCATTTTTGGACCCTCTGGAAATAAGTGGGAAAACAGAAATAGCTTTGGTAGTACAGAAGGAATCAACAACAATATCTTCTAACATTGCAACAAAGATTGCAGCCCCTGAAAGCATTTCTGATTCTAATAAGCAGACAACAGTAAGCACCGAGGAGCTAAATACTACTCAACTTGTAACTTCACCATTTTTCCTTCTGGATATTACTAATCAATCAGATATTTTGATTGGCACCAGAGGGGGTTCAGTTGAAGGCACAGCTGTCCAAATACCAGGTAAGATCCTTGACACATTTTACATAAATTTGTTTTTCGTACTTGAAAAAATTAATCTTATTCTTCATTTTCATGTAAAAATGTTAAAATGCTAATACCCTAAAATGCTAATAATTCTTAGCAAATGTACCCTTTATGAAATATGATAATCAAATCACATTTGAAAGACAATGGAGACCCAAAGCTTAAACCATTAGACATCACTGTAGTAGGCACAATGGTGAATACTACTGTATACAAACTTGAAGAGAACTAGAATCTTGATCAGAGCTCACTAATTATAAGATACTTTCTATTCACATCAACAGGTTTTGATTAGCACTCAGGTGGCCAGTCCACATGCCTTTATTGTTCTGTTCTTCAGAAATGTACCTATGTTATTGTGTTGACATGACAGTAGCACTCTTGCAGTTATTTTATAATTGTAGCTATGTTATTGTATATTCTGATTGATGAAGAGAACAGACATATTGTAGACTTTAACTGATGTCAGGGATTGGAGCAGATGATCAAGATCCGTGTGGTGGAGACAGGTCTTGACTTAGGAACCTCAGTCTCAGCAACTCAGGGACACAACTACTGAGCTGTCAACTAGGCTCTTCAAGCAAATACACATCTTCCATCTTGCAGCCCAGAGGAGTGGCATTAACTGTTTTCCTGAATGTCTGAGAGAAAAGATGCACCTGCTATTTAGAAATGTTTACTTCTTGTATGGGTATATATGCATTTGTATTTGTTCCTGTGTGCCTATATCATATATAAATACTTAAGTGCCAGAGCATAGTTCAAATGAAGATGAGTAGAATCCCTTTAAATTCTGCTATTAGAACAATGAACTCGCTTAAATGGTGGGTTCTCTATTTAAACATTTCAGTTCAGTCCCAGGTATAGAATGTACTTTTGTTTTCTTAGTTGTTCTTAAAAAGAAGACAATTAGGACATGTTTTGGGGGCAAGCATATGTACATAACAAACTTTACTTTCAAATAAATAAGATTTATTGGAAATTGAATAGTTAAATATGTCATTCAAAATGATAGCAATGTGCTAAAAAGATGCATGTTCTGTGTACCCAGCCATTCCACTTAAACTAACCCTGTTTAAAAGAATACATTTTCCATTCATTGTGCACATATGTTTAACTGTTTTCAGCTATAATTAATTGCCATGTCACGCCAGCTAAATCCTCAGCAGAACATAATGACTGCCAAAAAGTATAAGATGTCATTTTAAAAAGATGAAATTTCTCTGAAAATAAGTTATTATTCTCTATAGTGAATATAATGTTCTTGCTAAAGTTGAAAATTGAAAACAACTACTCTAGAGAACAGAAGAGTTTTTACAAAGTGTTATCTGTGTCACTAAAGTCAAGCTTACAATATCGAAGGAGAAATAAGGAAGTACCCTCCAGTTCTTTTTGAATATATATTAATGTCTTTTCTTTAACTTGTTTAACAGGCCAAGATCCATGTAAAAGTAATCCCTGCCATCACGGGGGCACTTGTTATCCACGTGGCTCTTTTTACATCTGCACATGTTTGCCAGGTTTCAGTGGTGAGCAGTGTGATTTAGGTAAGATGATACTAGCATGAAAACTTGTCTGGTACTGGATTGTACGCTGATTGAGCAGAATAACAATGTTTCATATGTGAGCTTTGAAAATGGAATAATATATTATTGCAATGGCAAAGGCTGAAGCTTTTGAAATATTGTATAGTTAGACAAGGCTTAGGCAGATTCTTAAAGTGAATTCTGATGAACCTGTCTATCTATCTAGCTGTTACTTGCTCATAGATGGCCAATCTTAGATGTTGTGTATTGCTGGACACCTCCTCCTTTAGGGTTAGCAGATATATGTGGTAAAAAAGATGTTTTTGTCTGGCATGACATTACATGGACAGACCCCAGATGTCAGAAACTATGGTTTCCTCATTTTTTTCAAGTTAGAAAAAGAATAGTCTTGCTGATTTCTTTACACCAACTTCTTAACAAATCAGAATTATCCACTCCCCGGTAAGTTATCGGGTCCAAATATATTTTAAAACTTGAGGAAGTAAGTTTGGTATTACATCAAGGTCTAGTCCACAGATGTTATCTCAACCATAGGACAACAGTTCCACCTAAGAAGCTCCAAAACAAAATGCAATAAATAAAAACTAGTAAAAGTTGGAATTGAAGTAAAAAGAATCTGGTATCTCACACAATCATGCATTCGAAGGAATTTTCCTCATTTTTATAATTAATCAACTGTTATTCACACAGATGCATGATTTTATATTTTGATAACACAGTAACTCTCAGCAATTTAATTTAATTTAATTTGGAGCAAGATGTTTGATATATGAAATCTAACTTCAGTTTTAAATGTTGGTTCAGTCAAATTAAGTCTTTTAAAATGTTAATTTCCATTTTGGTTTTCATATACACTCCATATGCTCCCTCCCTCCACATACATACACATATGCATTCTTCATAGTAGTTCATCAAGCACTGCTACCATTTAGATAGAAATTGGAAATATTAGGGGAATTTTAATATCTAGAATTAATATTTTGGTCAGGAGAGGGGAACTATAGGATTGCAAATCTAGCAAAGGGTTCTTCTGTGGCTCTATGAACATAATATCTGTGAAAACATTTCATTGAAACCACTGAGAATGCCTTTAAGATGCAGTCCCTGTATCAACCAGAGATCATGGCATGAAAGAAATAGAAGTATTATACAATGAGGCTAATGCCTGTAATATTATAGTCAGAAATTGGCACTGTTAGAAGATTGTTATACTATGGTCACACAGTAAAAAAAAAAAGCTTTATAGGAGAAGGAATGAGCTACAAGCTGTGAAATTGGTTTTCTTTCTCAGTTATGGAAGGAATGACAGCTAAAAAACAAAGTTATAGATTGTGGAGTCACATAGCAAGATTCAATATGTAAAATTGTTTTTCAACAGCTCTATCTCTTTTGTGAGCTTTCTGGGTATGCATGTGTTTGGGCATGTAGATATAATTGTTAGGCAAAGAAAACTCTTATAGCATCTTTATCCCTTTCAGAGATATTATTTTTGTTACTAATTCTGGGTAAGGGTACAATTTGAAAGTATATACCTTTTAGATGTGTTTTAAATGTACTTTTTTTTCCATTTCTGATCTAGATATTGATGAATGCCAGTCTAATCCTTGCCGAAATGGAGCCACATGTGTTGATGGCATCAATACATTTATCTGTCTCTGTTTGCCAAGCTATGTAGGTGCTCTTTGTGAACGAGGTAAGATAATACAATAATATTTTTTAATCTGTGGGTACTCAGATCACTAGCGTAGTTATCAGACAGGCAGAACTCCCACTAGCTTTAGTAGGAAGTTTATGTGAACCAGGATATCAGGAATAGCTCATTTTTATGGGTGCATCTGCTTTTGTTATACTTCCCTCATGTTTCTCTTTCCTTTCTTCTCCTTCCCACTTGTTTTTGATCATTATTATGATCAACCAGAAGAAGCATTTATGGTTTCACTAATGCAGACACACTATGAACGTTTCTTGGTATCTGATTTTAGCCTAGCAAAGCATGCAATCTTAATATACTCCTGAATAATGTTGTAATATACCGGTGTCTTCCCAGTAGGTTTCTGCTACTATATCTAAAGTCTGTTCTACTTGTGATTTGCTGAGGGCCAGATTACATCACTGGGTTGATACAACTTTGCTCCATACTAAAAAGAGCAGAATGCTTACTGGTGTTCTCTTGTAAATAGGGGAGTACATAAGTTGCTGCACTTCTTTAAGAAATGCAACATATCAACACATCCTGGGGCTAGCCATAGGTTTGTCTATTCTCAGCCCCTTCTCAGTCTCTTTTTAGCCCCCTTTGCGGTAGTTAGGAGACTGTTCCTTGTATAAGGAACAGGACAGAAAGGCACCCAAGAGAGCAGCTTTGGGATGGATGGCATAAAAGGGGGATCAAGGAGAAGCATGACAAAATACAAGAGTGGATGTTTTGAAGGACTGTAAAGATAAGTTACTTAGAATATGCATTTTGACTGAGTATATGGTTAAGCAAGAAGACCCCACCCCACCGAATTTATCCTCATATCTAACTTGTATCATCCATAAAATTCTCCAGCCTGGAAATATTCTAAAATATTTTAGGAAAAGAAGATGCAAGATCACTAGTGCAGCAGAAACCCTCTAAGTTGGTACATATAGTCCCCACAGTTATCTAATTGAGGCAAGATACAGTTACTCCTGCTTGTTAGTACCTCTTCCACAAGAAGTTTTATTGAAATCAGTGAAATTGCTAGTGGAGTAAAATACTATTCAGTGGGTGCATCTACACATGAAATTAACACGACACAATAAACTCCAGAGCAGTTCAAGCCAGTCAGCTGTTCCCAGGTATAGCATCTAAATGTGCGTCTGGGGCAGCAGCAGTTTGAACTGGGGTGAATCAGGCCTGGTCTGGCAGCAGGCTTGTGGGGGTGGTGGCATCAGGCAGTGGAGGGGCTGTTTGGGGCATGAGAGTGCTAATGTGTGGAGCTGTGCAGCAAGCAACCCTTGCACTTGGCATACTCATGCCCCAGCTAGCCCCTGTCACTATCTACACATGTTTCATCACACTTAATTACTCTGCCTTAAGATAGTACTGTGAGGACAGTACTATCTTATGAGAGTTTATTAATTTAGTGCACCCTAATACTAGTGCACATGTAGACAGTGATGCTTTACCGGGGAGCTAATTAGGTAACTGCAGTAAAGCATGTATGTAGATGCACCCAATATGTATAGGGATAGTAAAACCTGGCCTATTTTTAAAATTAATTGAGAAATTTCCAAAAGAAAAAGAAATGACACTTAAGAATACTCTTTATTTTCCCCAGGCTCCCAAAATTCCTTTCTTCCTCTTTTTCTTCTACTGATTTTACCCATGGATCAGTGAAGAAGACTTTGAGATATAGTCACATAAATTTTGGCCATTTTCAGATTTGGCTCAGACTGAGCCTGATGGGCAGACAAGCAGTTTGAAAGTTTTTCCAAGTGAGCATAAAGGGACTTAACTGAGTTGAAACCACTGAAGAATTGCAAATCCCAACTCTTGCTACAACTCAACTTTTCAGTAGTTTGGATTACCCCTTTATTTGAAAGACCTTCTGATTTTGTTCTCTGAAGACCTGACAATGTTTTTACAACAGAAACAACTAATGTTCTTTTTTCAGTAGATGCATAGTTCAGATGGCTCTGAGCATCATGGTAGCTTTAAACTGCATTTTATGATCAACTTGAGAGTGCATTTTAGGTGGTTAATGGGAACATTTCCTAGTTTGTCAATCAGAAACAGACTTCTACTCACTCAGCTTTGGAATTTAAATTTCCTCCACTTAAAGTCTTGCAGTGGTTTGGGACCTGGGAAAAAGATTCAGTGCCAAATTTCCATTCTACCAGACAAAATAAAAGTGTACTGGCGATTCAGACACAGTTGTCTAGCAAGGAGGCTTTATTTCAAGGCCTCAGCCCTGACTTCACTAGATTTAAAACCCAGCCAGAACTAAAGAACATGTATCTCAATGTCACAGGAAGGGTATAGGTGACTGCTGAGATTGTGCTTGCATTTTATTTTATTTTATGTTATTTTATTTTATTTTATTTTATGTTTTAATACATACTATTAATTTTGAGATCTTTCAAACAGAAATTTAAGTGTCTATTCATCAGCAATGTTGAGGATTTCCAGTCTCATTGAAGGTAATGAAAATTGTAAGGGCATAACACCTCTGAATATTCAGTCCGTAAGGTACTGATAATGGGATCCAGATTCTTTGTTGTATTCTTATCTTTCAGGTAGTTCAAAGAACTAAAAAACCACATATATATGGGTAGCTAATACGATTCCCAGAGTTATTACCCTGTTTGGAGTTTGACTAGCAAGTCTATCATCTTGTCAAACAGATGTCAAGGTTAGGGAGAAGGTATAGTCAGAGACCGGTGAGAAATTGTCCTTCAGAATTCATTGCCAGCTGGTGGAAGTTGAAAGTCAGGATGATCTAACCTGTGCCAGGACCCAGGCTAGAACAAATTAATCTTGAAAACCAGTGAGCTGTCACTGTCTCCCTGAAAGCCCTCTGCTTTTTCTTACCAAGTGGAAGCATAATTTAGCAGAAGTCCAGGTACTTGTTCTTGAACAGACCAAGCTGAAGGATATGGACAGGCTTTCATTTGTATTGCTACAAAGTGTTTTGGTACTTAGTAGAAGTACAAAAATGTAGTGCTGTGTTTGTTGCTTGTTTGACGGTTTAATGCAAGATATATAGGAAATGATTTTGTAAGCCTCTGAGAAGGACCAGACCACAATTTTTTGGGGATCCCTGCAAGAAATAGTTTTGGGGCCCCCTGCCCCAAAGAAGCTGGTGACGGCGGGGGGGGCGGGGCAGGGCGGTGAGCAGCCGAGGAAACCAGCAACAGCCGCAGCAGTGGTGGCGAGTGGCTGGATGTGAAGCCGGCAGTGGCATTGGTGGGGGGGTGGGGGCGGGGATGGCAAGCAGCTGCACATAAGACACCAGGAACATTCCTAGTGGTTTCTAGGATGAATGAATCATTCACTTTAAATGTGTAAATTGATGTGTATGTGCCACATTTAATAGGGGTGGCCTAGGATAGCTTAGCCCAGATTAAAGTCAATGGGTTTATCATACTAGGAGTTACCCAGTCTATGGTAACATGAAGTTGGAAGGATTCAGGATTCACTATTCTTAAATGATCAAAATGTGAGCCAATGCATAATAGTTTAGCCCAAGTTGATTGTGTCTCATTACTAGACTATCCTTTCTCATGCTGAGAAACATTTTACCTCATGAATAGTGCCATGGTTGAGGAATAAGATTCCATATACAATAAGAACATCTGGACCTTAATTTCAAGAGTATGGTATTTAAGTACCTTGAGTAAAAGGAGGATAGATGAGCAACTTCTACACCCCTCCCACTGCCGGAAGTTTTCTTTTATTTTCTTTCTCTCTCTGCTATACTGACTAGGGTCCATCTGTTTTCAAGGAAGTTCATCTTCGCTCTAAACTTAAAGCAGGGTTTGGCTGTCATACTGCTAAATTTCTGCGGACAATCGCTCAAGCCTGTTTTCCAAGCACAGCAGTGTTCATGGAACTTAGTGCCAAAATGGCAATATGATTTGTCAATAGACATCCCTCTTTGGGACCATACAACAAGGTGCTTTTTTTTCGCTTTCCAGGTTCCCAAACAAATGTTTTTTCTCATAATCAGCAACATTGTTTTTAAGACCAAGATCCTTATCCAAATGTTTGTGATGACTGTTGTCTCATCTAACTTGCTTTGTTTTCAGAGTCTAGTAGCTTACAAAAAGAAAGAGCAGAGAAGGGTTTGCTGCAAGGATACTCTTGAGAAAAAGGCAGATTCTGACTGTCTCACAGCTGAGAGGGAATTCTTGAATAAGAGTTTTACTTCAAGATGTGTGGGCTAATAGGACTCTTACCTTCATTTGTTACCTGAATCCAGACATGCAGACAGAATTCACAGCTGAGCAAGACTGCACTTACGTTCTAGTACCTGTGTTTCAGACTGATTTCTTAAGCTCCTTTGTGGAATTTGTTTGAAGACAAGGGACCTATTGTCAGCAGCTTATTGCAGCTGTTGAAAAAGCTGAACCTGCCTATATACTGCACCTAGGGGGTACATTTCTAATGCAGGGCTTGGAGAGTTTTACATCTACAGTTGCTGTTATGGGGAACAGAAGCTGTGTGGGTAACTCCTGGCACACATCACTGAAAATTAACCTCTAAAGTGCAATAAATCTTGGAGCTAGCAAGACAACTTTAAAAACACCATAAATGTCGCAAGTAGTATTTCAGTCTTTCCAGCGTATTTTGAGTTCAGCTTACAAAAAGTTGTGATTACATCCCGCAATAAAATGTATGAATATAATGCCCTCATAACAGTTATTGTTCCAGATTAGTCCTCATACCAAAACCACTCACAATTGGACATTGATCAGATCAGAAAATGTACTGCCGTTCCTCAACTAGACCTTCTGGTGCAGTAAAGACATTTAAGAGCATAAACCTTTATGTACTGACTTCTCCGCCCTCCACACACACACTGATATGTGTATGTATCTCTTATAGCATGTTGTTTAGGAGATTAACATCCTGTTTCAATCATATGTAATATAGTATTAAATCCAGCTCTGATTTTTTTATTGTTTTTATATTTGGCTGTTTTGCATTTATGGCATCTTCTTTACTTA